CTCAATCGTGATGACCTTGAGAGTGATGTTGGGTTTGCCTCCGTCGAAGAAAGCCTGACGGTCTGTGATGTTTATCTGGCCGTCGGGTGTCCATTCCCCAACCTGTAGGAGGGATACGTGGCCAGTTTAGCTTACGTTTAGCTTTCTTGTTCTTCATGTTTCTTTGCATATTAAAGGTTGTGTTTCTCTTAATGACTGGATTTAACTAATGGATGTTTTTTACTCAATAACTGGATCTTAACTAGTAGCTGGTTTTATCTAATAATTGGACCTTCACTAATGGTTGTTTTTACTTAATAACTTAACTTTAAACAGTAGCTGTTTGTTCTAATAATTGTACATTACTAATAATTGTTTTTACTTTATAACCTGAACTGAACTGACCTGAACTGTTTTTATTTAATAACCGGACTTTAACTAATGGTTGTTTTTACCAAATAATTGCTGTTTTTCTCTCATAACTGAACACCGCCTTATACCTTTATCAACTAATAACTATGACGTATTAACCGTATTTCATCTACTGATAATATCCTTAACTAATAACTATATCTCAACTTAAAACTGAAAGCCACCTTAAAACTGTACCTTAACTTAAGACCTAACGCCAATCCAAAAATTTTCCAAATCAAAAAGATATATCTCTCTCTCAACTTAGAAAAAAAAACTTACTTAACTTAGAAAACTGTACTTCAAATCTTACCTTGTATAATTCTTCCATTCTAAGTTTAAGTATATCTAACTTGAAATTGGTTCTCTTTCCCTCGGTGAACTTGATAGGTCCAGTCACCCCGTTGTATTCCACCTGAGGGGAACAGAGGGGATACTTTAAGCTAGTGAAGGCAAGAGAGGATAAATAAGTTGGATGGAAGGGGGAAGAGAGGTATAAAATGGATGAAAGGAGGAAGAGGAAAATAATGAGGGGAGAGAGATATAAAATGGATGGAAGAGGGAAGAGGAGAGGAAAGAGAAGTGATATAAAATGGATGAAAGGGGGAAGAGGAGAGGAAAGAGAAGTGATATAAAATGGATGGAAGAGGGAAGAGAAGAGGAATGAGGGGAGATATAAAATGGATGAAAGGAGGAAGAGGAGAGGAAAGAGAAGTGATACAAAATGGATGAAAGGGGAAAGGAGAGAGAAATTGAAGTGATATAGAATGATGGAAGAGGGAAAGAAGGACTTAGGGGAGCTATCCACTGTATGACCGGCGGCAGATGAGAGGACGGAGACCGTGCTATACATGGCTGGAAGAGGGACGCGAGACTTGAGGGCGGTCCTCCCATAGGCTTCCCAGGCGGCCGCGGCACTCCTGAGGGGAGCGGCGCTCTCCCGGCTCCCCGCAGGTCGCGCCGAGGCCTTGCAGGGACTGTCTCCCCTGGCTGCCAGGGTCAGCGCCGCGGCCCGCGCCGTGCTATCACACTGCTGGCCGCGAGGCCGCGGAGCGGCCTGCGGGGCTCTCTCCTCCTTGCTCCCAGGCGAGGCGGCGCGGCCCGCGACATGTGCTCTACTCATGGGCTGCCGGTGGCCGCCGGCGGCACGCATACGTGCTTTCCACTGGGGGGCCCTTCTACGCTGGATGCCCGGGGGCAGCGAGCGGCGAGAGAAATGCTATAATCTTCCAGCAGAGGGGCCAAGAGAGAAGAACAGAGGGTGTATATACAAAGGCTTAGAGGCGACTATTGGACGAACATACCACCGAATATCCAATGGATGACGCAGCGGAAAGAGAGAGAATAAGAGGATTGATATAAAACAGATGAAAGGGGGAAGAGGAAAAAAGAGAGAGGAGATGTGATAAACGAGATACTTGGAGTTAGGAAAAGACAAAGAAGAAGAAAAAGAGGTGTGCCATAAGTTGAATGAAAGAAGGGGAAAGAAAGTAAAGAATAAAGATGAGATAAAGATGGATGAGAGATAGGAAGAGGAGAGGCAAGAGAGAAGAGATTATTTGAATAAAGAGAAAGGGGGTAAAGAGGAGGGATTGATGTTTAAGTAAAAGAGAGAAGAGGGAAAATGAGAGAAAGGAGATACTTTAGACTAGATTAAAAGGAGAAAGAGAATGAAATGAAAATTAGGGGAAGAGGAGAGAAGAGAGAAGGGTAGAGGGGAGAAGGAGAGGTCAGAGAAGGGGGGAGGGGAGGAGGGGCGAGAGAAGGGGAGAGGGGAGGAGGGAGTTGGGAAAGAGGGAGAGAGAGAGAGAGAGAGAGAGAGAGAGAGAGAGAGAGAAAGAGAGAGAGAGAAAGAGAGAGAGAGAGAGAGAGAGAGAGAGAGAGAGAGAGAGAGAGAGAGAAAGAGAGAGAGAGGGAGAGAGAGAGAGAGAGAGAGAGGGGTGGGGAGAGAGGAAGAGAGAGAGAGACGGAGACAGAGAAAGAGAGAGAGAAAGAAAGAAAGATGAAACGAGCAGGAATGGGAAAACCACAAAGAGGAAATAAGATTTACAGGATAAGTCAAAGTGAAAGAAGACGAAGAAATGCGATGATAAATGAAAAACAAGAAACA